TATTTATCTAACGTGCTATGTACCTCAAATACAGACCTGTTAGTAACACTAGTATTTTGTATCTTTTAAAATGTAGAATTTTGGTAAATTCTTCGTTTTATAATGTAGAATATCTTGATAAAGTTTTCGTTTTAAAGTGTAAAATATCTTGGTAAGTGCTTCGTTTTAATTAGTGTAAAATATTTGAAAATGAAGAAATTTCATTTATGTAATACCTGCAACATTGTAAAAAACATTTAAAAAATTGCCGTCACATTCGATACAACGACACTGGTATTGATTGACTTCATTAAGCTTTTACAGTTTTTGTATTTAATAAATATCATTTAATAAATATAATTAATTTTGAAAGTGTATAATATATCCCTCTGTAATTGAGACTGGTATGTAGTGTATGTGGCGTAACGAGTCGGGCATTATTTTCTGTATGACATAATCACAGTTCATATTAAAAAAAAAGAGAGAGAATAGAATTTAGACAAATGACTTTCTGTTATTTCGTTTGTACATATTTCCCCGAATTCTGTCTGACCGTTTCTATTTGTTTTCAATTTTCTAGAATAACAAAAAAAGCCTATTACTTTTAACGCTCGCACGTAATGTTATAGTTATACAAAGAACCCTTTATGTTGAATCCGTTTCCTAAGACATTGAAAATGAAAGTGGGTGATTAGTGGATGTAACAGAAAAAAAAAGTGAAAGCATACCTGCGGTTCCTACAGTTTGACGTCACTAGCAGCCAAACTGAGAAATACAAAACTTAGTTTTCCTGATAAAGCTTTTAGAGTAGTTGAGCAGCGTACTGTTTAAAGTTCGATTCCACGAATGTAGACCCCTACGCCGATTAAATTAACACAGCTTGAAAGCACGTTTCTTAATGTCTATTTGACTCCATACATACACACACACGTTGAGCATGTTAATGTAGCGCCACCTGTTGTCGCTTCTCATTGCTGAGATACTACGTTTAGTCTGATATGTGTGAAAATTACTCAACACAAAAACAAATTCTGGAAAAAAATAAATATGTAAAGCACAAGATTTTGTTATAAACTTTATATTTTAATAATTCAATATCCATTATATTAATAGTAACATAGTTAATTACAGGGACAGACGCATGGATGGAAAACTGTTTTGAGGTATTATGTGAAATGTTCTTTGGGGTCACTGACCGTTAGATACGTGGATTTACGTTTCAGTTTCAAACTTATAAAAGCAAGTTCAGAAAACGAACCTTAGGAAAAAATTCACACTTTATTTTGACCCATCAACTAGTACAAATGTACTGGATTGTTCTTTCCAGTCAACCTCAGCATCTAAATAATGTTCAGATAAAGTTTTTTCTTGTTGTAATATTTAAGATATCTGAAAGAAAACGTTATTTAAATAAAATGAAACTCGTACTGATACTGGTTTCTCGATGGAAAGATTGCTTTGTTTCTTCCGTTTCTTGTATCTCCCCAATGGTGGCTCAGCGGTAAGTCAGAAAGCATATAACCCTAAAAACCAGGTTTTAGTACTCCGAGTGGACGTAGTAGAGATAGCCCTTTGTGTTTAACAATAAAACAAACAAACCGTATTTCTTGTATAAACTTAAACAAATATATATTGATGTAAACATATAACAAGTGAGTTAAAATTAGTTAAAGTTTAATACTTAATAATCATAATAAAGGTAAACGCAGCAAAATTCTCATTCAATTTTTTTTCATATTGTGATAAAAAATTCAATATTTCAACGAATCCTTTATGTTTTTTGTTACCTTCTCAGCACAGATATGTGAAAAACTTCAACATGTAAGTAGGCAGAAGTAATTTAAAAGGTTGAGATATTTTTAACTACGTTTCACTCCTTTATCACAAATAAACATGATTATTTTTATAATCCTGTGTTGAAAAATTCAACCAATAGACGTTGCGTGGTTTTTATTAGTCTATTAAATAGACTTAAGATTGGATGAACTGTGAAATTAGATAACCTTAAGATTGGATAAACTGTGAAATTAGATCATCTTAAGATTGGATAAACTGTGAGGTTATATCATTTTATGATTGGATAAACTGTGAGATTAGATAATCTTAAGATTGAATAAACTGTGAGATTAGATAATCTTAAGATTGGATAAACTGTGAGATTAGATCATTTTATGATTGGGTAAACTGTGAGAATAGATAACCTTAAGACTGGATAAACTGCGAGATTAGATAATCTTAAGATTGAATAAACTGTGAGATTATATAATCTGTGAGAAAGTTAGTAAGAAATCTGCAATAATTTTTGTGAATAAGCTAGTGATTTAGTCTTTCAAAATTGGCATTGAGTCTAATTAATGTCAACGAGTCACGATCTAATATTACCTCCGTGTAAATCTGCTCTAAATTACGAAGCTAGACCACGAGTAGGCCTAGTTTATAACTTTGAGTGTTTTCTAGCATATTAGCTGAGAACATTGCAGATTAAGACACCGAGGATGTAGGAGACTAAAACCCCGAGAAAACGAATGCTGATCTAGAAGTACGTGACTAAAGCAACGTAATAACGAAACATTCATGTAGTTTCTCGATTTGTCAACAGAAGAAACAACTGCATACGAGAGTTGAACAATGTGTGTTTTTGAGAAAAGGCGGTAATCTTGCGGCATCGTTTGTGAAATACAACTTTTACTAAAAAAATCTAAACAGACGTGAAATCTGATAATAGATACTCTTTTTGATAAACTTTTTAATAATTACATTAAGAACACCGCTGATAATTTCATGTAAATAGTAATAACTTATACAGAACACAGATGCTTATTAACTTCATAATCATAATGATTCTTTAAGTGCCCCCAGTGTCTCAGCGGTAAGTCTGAAAGTTTATAACGCTAAAAATCGGGTTTCGATACCCGTGGTGGGCAAAGCACAGATAGCCCATTGTGTAGCGTTGTGCTTAACAACAAACAAACAAACTATTCTTTAAGTACACTTTGCGCTACCACTCAGGTCAACGTCACGTTCATCATCATTAATGAACTCTTTTATAGGCTTTTTGCGTTCAGCGTCACGTGAGTGACATAATAAGCTCGTTTCTGACTTTAGCTGGTGAAAAAATGTTATACAAAGCTAATGTGTCTCAAAATAATTAATTAGATAGCCGAGCGTAGCTTAATGGTTAACATATCGACCTATAAATCGAAGGGTCCATAGCTCGAGACGTGATGTCACTGAATATACTTCGCATGTTCAGCTGAGGTGCATTATAAAAGTAACAGTCAATTCCGTTATTTTCTTCAAACAGCTGAACAAAATTCTTGTGGAGGCGTGTACTACTGACTGGTTGGTCAGTAGCTCAAAAATTGGACGTTATATTTGAAACTTGGGGACCTCTGACTTGGCCGCCCCTCCCCCCCC